TCACAAAACAAGAGACCAGAGAACTAGAAAGGCGGGGCTCACCACCCATTTATCCCTCCGTCTTTCAATTAGCCCCACATGTGATTATCGGCCAGGCTGGCACAATTAACTAACTCAGCATATAACAAAAATTTAAGAGGACGACACCCCAACGACATAACACATCTGAGATAAACCCAGCGTGAACAAACAAAAGCCAAAATCCCAGTGGATCTCATTCCTTTGTCATTTGTCTCTGCAAAGTGTGCAGAGACAATGCCGGGGACTGACACAGCCAACATTCCTCTGCCTCCACCCAGATCTGTGCCGAGAGGCAGGCATGCAGTTTGTCTGGGGCCAGAATCGGCTTCGGATTGTTTTCTGGATCGTGGGACACCCTCCTGAAGGGCTAAGCTCTAATGCTGCGACTCTTTAGTACAGTTCTTCATGTTGTGGTAACTCCCCCCAACCATAAAATTATTTTCGTTGCTACTTCATAACTGCTACTTTTTGCTACTGTTATGAATCGGTTGACCCCCGTGAAAGGGCCACTCGACCCCCAGGTTGAGAACTGCTGACTTACAGGCGATGGGCCCAGTCTAGTAAACTCTCTGCACCTCAGCTTTCTTATCTCTAAAATTAACAGTCATAGGATGCAGTATGATGCTCAGGACTAATTTGGATAATATATTTACAACGTTCATTTATTTATTATACCAGATTCACGAGTAAATACGGTCAAACCCGAGAGTCAGTTCTGAGAGTGAGAACCCGATGGGGCTGTCCCGTTTATCTGGATTGTGCAAGTTTATTTCCTTCTTTCTTTCTCTCTTTTTTTTTTGGCCCTTTAATAGGGTGCCACCTTAGCCCTTGCCCCTTGATCCTTATTAAGAATCTTCCCTGGTAACCCCCCACTGAGTTTTCCTTCCCTGACAGGTTCCGCCTTACACAGGTTCAGACTTTTGCAGGGTTAGCTAATTGAGTACCTGCTCGGTGTGAAGTGCCATGCCAGACACTGGGGATTACAGGGGACCAGACAAAGGCAGGGTTCGCTTCCCAGCCCCTAGCGGAAGCTCCGAAAGAGGAGACTGCATTGTACCTGCGCGCGTCATGAAGGGTGAAGTGAAATGTCAAGCAAGGTTACGCTCTTTCTCCAGACTGTGCCAGGAAGAAAGCTGGTCTTTGAGCAGTGACTTTGACCGAATCCCGTGGGAATTGGTGTGTCGACCCAAATACCCTGTTTCCCTGACAATAAGACAGTGTCATATTAATTTTTGCTCCCAAAGATGCAGTAGGTTTTATTTTCAGGGGATATCTTATTTTTCCATGAGGAAGAATATAGTACACATTGTTGAACAACAAAAAAAGGAAATTTATTACCTGTATATGGTACGGTAGTAGTTGTCATCACAAACCAGCATAACCAGACCAACTGTAAATCCTACAGTATCAAAAATTTCTTGTTACTACCATTATTTCCATGTACAACAATCTATGGTACATTTACTCAT